TGTAAAAATACCACATCTTTCTCAACCATTCCTCAGGTGATGGGCATCTCTGAGTTTGGTTTGCTCTTCCTTTTCTACTTGTTGAAGATGCAGCACTGCCTGTTCCATAGCAAGGCGGGATTTTTACTAGGCAGCACCAGGTTTCGGGCAAATTGTAGAATTTGAGGAGAAACACCTCAGTTGTTTTCACTCAAAGTAATTTGTCTGTCTTCATATGAGTGACATAATGCTCTCTGAAAGGAAATGTTGATATTAAAAATATGAATTGTGTTTTGTTAGGGAGATATTTATACAGCAAGTCTTTTTTTTTTTTTTTTTGGTCTTTTTGAGAAAGGGTCTCACCGTACAGTTCAAGCTGGCTTGGAACTCACTTTGTAGCCCAGGCTGGCCTCAAAATCACAATGATCCCTCCTGTCTCAACCTCCCTAGTGCTGGGATTACAGGTGTGTGTGCCACCATGCCCAGCCTAGCAAGTCATTTGTTGAATGACTGCTCAGTGCCAGGTTTACCTGACATTTAGTATGAGAGAGAATTAGTGGTAAATCAGCGCTTGGACCTTCAATTTGTAATACAACCAGGGAGGCAGGAGTGTTGTATGTTGTCACAGTACTGTGGACATGTTATAACTTTACTGTGAGAGAGAGCGCGTGAGGCTCTTCACAGAGGAGAGCATCTCCACATTTGTCTCGTGTTCAAAGGCATGCAGAAGAGGCAGTGAACTTGGTGCGCAAAACGTGTATGTAGTTCATGAAGTGCGGAAGCAAGCCTGCGGCTGTCCACAGCACGCAGGAAGGGGGCAGACACGGGACACCTGCGTGAGCAGTAGTGAGATCCATTGCCGTGGTGTGGAAGGGAAGCAGGCTGTGGAAGCGGACCCGCCTGTGTGAGTGGAGACTGTTTCTGGAAGCGCTCCACCTGGCCGGGTGGGCAGCCTTCTCAGGCAGAGGAGGAGAGCGGTGGAAGGCCAGGGACGGTGGGCCAGCTCCTTTTTTTTTTGAATCTTGAATTTTAAAATACACAAGAACAAATTTGAAAACAGCTTGTGTAAGTTATAAAAAATTTCATTTTTTTTTTTTTTCTTCTTGCGGAACTGGGGATTGAACTCAGGCCCTTGCGCTTGCCAGGGAAGCGCTTATGCCACTGAGCCATCTCCCCGGCCCCTTAAGTTATAAAAAAAAGAAAATAGATTTTAAAGGATTTCTCTGAAGCCTTTTTTTTTTTTTTTTTTTTTTTTTTTTGTGGTACCGGGGATTGAACTCAGGACCTTGCACTTGCCAGGCAAGTGCTTATTCTACTGAGCTATCTCTCCGGTCCCTCTCTGAAGCCTTTAACATATACCTATGCAGGGAGAAAACCTGGAAGGTGTGTGTTTAGTAGGATGTAGCAAGGAGATTCTGTCCAGCAAGACTGAAGTCCCAAGGACTACTCTAGGGAAAGTGTGAACAGAGCTCTTTGTCTGAACTATGAAACCGTGTTTGCGTAGATAATTTTTTTTCTTGTTTTGGTTAATTTTGGAAATTGAACTTTTGGAGTTTGAATTCACAATTAAAAGGTATAACAGGCCTGGGGAGATAGCTCGGTGGTCTGAGCACCTGCCTGTCAAGTACAAGGACCTGGGTTTGATCTCCGGTATCACAAAGCTGTGCCGGCCCCAGAACCCTGGGCACACTGTGCCAGCCACCAAAGCTGGGCATGGTGGCACAGGCCTGTAATCTCAGTGCTGAGGAGGTTGAGACAGGGGACTGCAAGTCCAAGCTGTGTAGCAGGACCCTGTAAAGACGTATAAAGACTGCCTTGGGTGTGACAGTTGAAGCAAAGCTTATATCTATAGTAGACTTCCGTTTGTGTTTACACTGTAGTTCACATAGATTTTTATTTCTGTTATCTTTTAGGTTTTTATAAGGATACATACTATTGATATGATAATGTTGATGTCTAGTTTAAGTCTGATAGTTTATTTTACTGACGTGTTATTTCCCTGCTAAGTGCATGTTGTATTGTACAGTAGGGAGCTCCTGACAAAAAGGAAAGGCAGCAAGAATGCCACATAGGAAAGCTGTCAGTTAAAGCGAAACTTATTTTTGTGATAGAGTTCTACTGGTATTTTCATTGGAGTTCATATAGGAACTTATTTCTGATGTTAGCTTTTAGGGTTTGTAAGGAAATACACAAGGGATATGAAAATGTTGACATATGTTCTAAACGCACATTGCATATTAAGATTTTATTTATTGATTTTTTTTGTTCCTGGTAACTACATACTGTATAATATAGTGAGAACCTCTTAATAGAACATCAAGACCACTGAGATGTCAAATGTGTCCTATAAGAAGGCTACGAATGCAGAACACATGTGCTGTCAGTGTAAGTGGTGCACGTGTGTGGAACATGCTGTGGTTTTTGGGTTTTTTGGGGGAGGGTGGGATATACCAGGGATCGAACTCAGGACCTTGTACTTGCCAGGCAGACACTTGTGCTGCTGAGCTCTCTGCCAAGCCCCCAGAACATGCTGTTGTCATGCATGCAGACTGCCTTAGGTGTATTCATTGAAGTAAAGAGTATTTCTTTGGTAGAATGCCATTGCTATTTTCATTGTAGTTCACATGTAAATTTATTTCTGATATTCTTTTTTACACTTTGTACATGAAAAATAAGTTGATGTTGAAGATTTTGATGCTTTTTTATAGGTATTGAATAAATAATAAAAACTAATTATTTTTGTGATTTTTTCCCCAGTAAGTACTCACTGTTTAATATAATAAACTCATAACATTAAAATTAATAATTCATCAATAGCAATATTACACTTTGATGATAAAATTAATCTTACGCTCCAAAGGGCTACATTATGAGGGTTAGGTGCTGTGTCCAGCTGTGGAAAACCTGAGTGATGCATAGTCCACCTTGTGTTTGTGAAGGTGCTCAGTGTCTGGTCTGAGAATTCTTAGTGAGTTCGCAAAGGGCTCATCAAAAAGTTTTGGTCTAATTTAACTTTTTGTATGCTTCATTCCTGAAGATAGTTACTCACACAGGCACACACTGCCAATCAGCAATGGCATGTGTAAGCATGACTGTGCGCTGAGGGATCTTTTCCTCTGGGCAGATCAGTCTCAGACAAGTCTAGCAAAGAGATGTGCTCAGGGCTGAGGAGATAGGTCAGCATTCTAAGCGCCTGCCTGGCAAGGGCGAGGACCTGAGTTTGATCCCTGGTACCACATGCTGAGCTGGCCTGGAACTGGGCATGGTAGCAATCGCCTGTAATCCCAGTGCTGGGGAGGCTGAGACAGGAGGATCACTAAGAGTCCAAGGTGTGTAGTGAGACCCTGTGCCTAATTAATTAATTGATTGATTAATTTAAAAAATGATTTTTTTAAAAAAATTAAAAGATGTTACCAATTTTTTCTGGAATGTCTGATCGCAACTGTACATTGCATCTCAAAATTCAAAGTGGGTATTTATGTCGGCTGAAGATGGAGCTGCACTATACCTACATGTGTTTAGGGAGGTTGAAACACTTGCTGGTAGTTGCTGCGCTTTACCAGCCAAGTCACACAAGTACACAGCATGTCTGATAGACTCGGGTCTCCATTCCACTGACTGCGTGGTGACACTGGAGCCACAGTGAGCACTGTGCCCTTCTCTACACAGCGTTCTATTGTCCCCGACACCGTGCATGCCCGAGCACTGCACCACTGAAGTCATGGAAAGTGCCACTAACAATGATGCAATAATGTTAAATGTTTACGGTCTGATGGGGCTGCATTAAGAACTGTCTAGGACCCACGTGTGCTGAGCCCAGGCTCACCACCACAGTCTTCAGCAGTTGACACAGAAAGCCACCATAGTCATTGCCATGGTGTCATTGGCACAGACTGCTGTGGCTTTCTCGGAGAAATACTCAGTATGTACATGGGTGGTCATAATTGCTTTTCTGAACAGCGAGGTCTGTCTGTAGTCATTGACAGCATTTACAGCTTTTTGGTTTTTGATATAGAATCTTACTATGCAGTTCAGGCTGGCCTCGAACTCAAAGTAATCCTACTTCAGCCTTCCAAATGCTGGGATTACAGGCATGTGCCACCAACCAGCTCTGAATGTTTCAAAACATCCAGTAGTTAAAATTTTTCATCAAGCCCATACTACACGTGTAAATAGCACTGGATCATTAATCTATTGGTATCTACTTAATTCTCTGTGTACCGTGTAATTGTTTTATTTTCAATTGTTTCTATTTTTTTTTTTTTTAAAGAAGAAGCAATGAGTTTTTATTTTGCCACCTCTTGTGAATGTCTGCCCTTTGGAGATTGGGTTAAGACCTAATGTATAGTAAATGGAAAAACTTTACTTGGCGAGCTAGCTGTTTTGTGTACAGTAATAGGAATTGCAGAGTAGGTTAAGGGTTGCTACAACCAAGTCCCTAGTCCCTGAGAGCTGAACCACACCAATGCGTTGGAACCTTCACGGGACGAGCACACGAGCCCTCATCAGGACGTAGCTGGGAAGCCCAGTGTGTTTATGAAGCACACTGCAGCTGAAAGCACACTCAGTTGGAAGCTCAGAAAGCTGTGTTGTCAGACACCCTTCCTTTAAAGTTGCACCAGCTGGAATACGTAGTTGGGTCTGAGTAAAAGAAGAGATATTGCAAAATAGCCTAAAATGGCAAAAGATAATTGATTTGCACATGGAAAGCTTTCTCTCATTTTTAAGTATAATCGATCCTGATTCTAAACTAAATGTATTTCCAATTATGTTAATGTATGCTTGCTGACATACACTAGTGCTTCTTTGTCATCGTCAGGGACTAACTTTCGTTTCTTAGAATTTTAGGTGCTCCTATTTCATGCTTTTCTGAAGACTACCTGGTTCAAATTCTCATAGTTCCAGAATAATTCTCTATGTGAATAAACTATGCATTAAGTGTTTTTATCATTAGTGGTTTTTTATGTTACACTGTTTCAGAGTAATAAAATTTAGAATTGCATACATTGTGGCCAAATTGTGTTATTTAAAGGGATGAAAGTGAACATTCCTTTATTTTTGCTTTAGAAAATAGAACTTCCGAATAAACTGGCCAAGCGATATCCAGCCTATGAGCTGTACCTTTATGGAGAAGGGTCCTATGCTGAAGAATACAGAGTCCTCCCTTTGACAGGAATTCCAGTTCTCTTCCTCCCTGGCAATGCTGGAAGTTACAAGCAAGGTAGGTGCTGAGAGCCAGCCCGACATCTGGGAGATTCGGTAAGGAGCACTGACAGCACAGCGTCGGGACGCAGGAGGCCCACGCATGCGACCCCTTCCCTGAGAGGAGGTACATTTGAGAAGTACAAAGAGGAGAAGAGCTGCAGAGTGGGGAGGGGCGGATAAATAATTATGCCAGTGTTTGGAAATCAACAGGAGAGAGAGGCTTATGTTAGAGATGGCTTGTGCACAGAATAGAATCTGGAGCCGAGGTCAGAGAGATAGACTAGCGGCCCATATGATGCCCAGCACAAAGGACAATGTTTTCTTCTGCAGCTATTTAAGGTGGATCTAGAAGTACAGAAAGAGCCACAGAATATGAAGGTAGGAGAGTTGTAGGTGCCAATTCCAAGTTCATTTTTGTCTTAGAGAAGATGTGCAATAGTTTTGGTCATAAGAGCAAAAGTCATTTTATTTTAAACTAAAATTTGATTCCTTAGTAAATGATTAGACTTGTTACGTGATGAGACTAGAACTGTTCCAACATGTGCTATATTTGTGGATGTGTCTATTCATCTAGCAGACATTTATGGTTGCCTATCCTGACCCACGCACTGATGTAGGTACCCGGCACGGATGGCGAACCCTTTCGAAGTGGAGTGCCAGAACTGCAAGCCAGACCACTTACTGATCACAAGTGCCAACACTGTGATTAAACCTGCATGCTTGGCTGCTGAGGGCCTGCTGCGGCGAGCTGGCCCATGCGCCAGTGGAGAGGCTCTGTGTGCCCGCTGCACCACACGTGCTGTACTAGAGATCCAGAGCAGCCTGAGCCACAGGAAGCCCCTTTCTGGTCAAGCAGTATTCTCATTGAAAAGATAGCCGCCTGACAAGCATGTCAATAATGTTACAGCGAGAAAGGAAACTTGAGGAGATAGAGGATGCACAAGGCCAAGGGATGCCTGGGTTAGAGGAGGTGGTCAGGAAAGGCCCTAAGGCAGTAAGACGCTGAGTGCCTTCAGGCCACTATGTGGAGGGAAGAGTGAGAAGAAAGTGGTAAAGCAGCCATGGACTATGGCATGTAACCTGGGGAAACGCTGTGAGTTCTTATCTAAGCGAGATGAGAAAACTGGAGGGCTCTAGATAAGGAACAGTACAGTCTGTGTAAGCCAAATGGGAGCTGACATTTCCTGTGAGTGGCTCCTTAAAGTCCTCAGTAAGTGTGATGAAATGCCTTTCTTATTCCTCAGAGTATCCTTACCCTCCTAGCTCCTACAGTTCCTGCCGAAGGAGAGCAGGGAGAGAGTGAGCAGCCTGTTCGCTTTATACTTACTTATGTTAAAACATTTAGGGCACATTTAACTGTATTTGAGGCATATAGCCACGAGGTTAGTGTGTGCTTCTAAATTAGCACTATTAATGACCATTGACCTCTAATAAGTTCATGTCCATATTGAAGTCTATTTCTGAGGAGATTTTGAAACAAGAACAGATGCAGCCTCAGAGTATTTTGTTTGTTCTGCACTTCTTTCCCTGCAGTTCGTTCTATTGGCTCCATTGCGCTCAGGAAAGCAGAAGACATTGACTTCAAGTACCACTTCGACTTCTTCAGTGTGAACTTCAATGAGGAGCTGGTGGCCCTGTACGGTGGGAGCCTGCAGAAGCAGACCATGTTCGTGCATGAGTGCATCAAGGCCATTCTTAGACTTTACAAGGTAAGAGGCCAGCGTGGCACAGCCAGGTAGCTGTTTATTTGGAAACTCACTGTATTTTTAAAGATGTATTTTCTATCAATATTAAGGAACTCACTCTATTTTAGATAATGCATTTATTTATATGAAAAGTAGAAGAGGACACAGTTGTATACAACACACGTTGTATTTTGAGTATATTGCCTTGATCTAAGTGGATGATTTCAAATTTAAATTGGAATTTTAGTAAACCATTCTTATAAATTTGAGAAAAAATTGTTTTAGCTTTCTACATAAATTGGAAGCGTGATGCATTTCCTAATGCTTCCTCAGCAGAGACCGGTGTCCAGCTGTGTGACTCAGTAGGGGCACTTGAGTAGATTGCTAGTCCCAGGTGTTGGACCACATGCAGCAAGGGACTATCATCCCTGAAAGCCGAGAGTTCCAACTGAGCTTAAGAAGGCAGAGAATTGGAACTTGGGACTGCTGAGCTGGCTGCCTGGGGTGGGATAGAAGAAGACCTGAAGCAGCTGGGCTGGTGCTGCACATCTGTATCCCAGTACTCGAGAGGCTGAGACGGGGGAGTAATGAGTTCAAGGCCAACCTGGGCTACATAGCAGATCTTGTCTTAAAAGAAAAGGGGAGGGGGTGGAAAGGGAATATATGTCTTTAAAGAAATCTAGCCAGCGAGATAGTTCAGCAGACTAAGCGCCGGCTTAGGCATGTGCAGGGACTGGGGTTCAGTCTCTGGTGCCACGCTGAGCCAGCCACTGAGACTAGGCATGATGGTACATGCCTGTAATCTCAGTGCTAGGAAGGCTAGAAGCCGGAGGATCACTGTGAATCTGAGCTACAGTTGGGCCCTGTACCAAATACATTTTTTAAAAAATCTAAAAGACCAGTAAAACACACTGAGAATCATTCTATGCTAGCAATTTCAAACACTATCGAGGATGAACTAAAAATCCTCAGTCAAGCGGACCGATCCGCCCTTGGCATGTCACTGTGCAAGTCCAGGAGAAGACAGCTGCTGTGGAGTCAAAGGCCACATTCAGATTTCAGAGCTGCATGATTCCAGGACCAAGCATTCTAATTCTAGAGAAGGACTTGCTGAACATAGTCTACTTGGTCAGGACTCCGTAAGTGACACAATGTAGAGCAGGGATGCTATAGTGTCCACCCTAACAGTGCTTCAAGGTGAGCCTCAAACATATGAGAGTTAAGGGTTTAATATGGAATGTACACACAACAAAGGGATAGGCGGGGAGTCTCAGCGGACGTGGAAACAACTAGCAAAGTGAAAAGGAAAACCTAGGATGGAAGCAGTGCATATCAGGAACGGGAAGCGCACTAGACAGACGTAAATGAGATTGGACATTACTAAAGAGACCACCGGGTTTGAACCCACAACTGTAAGACTAATTAGATGGAAGCACAGATGACAAGACAGACTCAGAACCCATGAGACAGTCTAACACATAAGTAGTTCAAACCCTGGAAGAAAAGGAAAGAGAAATAGGGAGGCAATATATTCAGAGAAGGAACAGCTCCTGGATCTGCAACCCACAGACGCACCGCATGCCGCCCACGACAGACACAGGAAAGTCAGACCTTAGTATACATAGTCAAGCTGCTGAAGCCAAAGTAAAGAGAAAATACAGAAGCAATAGAGGAAGATCCATTACCTACAGGAAAAAAGAATAAAAACTACTGGCTTTTCATCAAATGTAAGGAAAGCCAAAAACAACAGTAACCTTTATCAAAGGACTTGATAAAGGGGTGTGTGCATGTGTGCAGGGGTGTTCCCAGCCTGAACCTCATATCCTTCAAAAATGAGGAAAAATAAAGATACTGTAGTATCAGAGGAGCACAGGCTCGTAGTTTTGTCTCCAAAAGGAGGAAAGAGGGAAATGGAAGCTTAGTACTAGGGAAGCGGTGCAGTAACCGCTGCTTACAAGATCCGTGGCTGAGTGCTGAGGCGGGGGGACATTTGAAGACAAGCAAGATATTCCTAGCCTCAGAGTTTCACTTCTAAAGGGGAAAGGACAACCTTTTGGTGTGAGAAGACACATCGCAGTTGCTCCGTGCCTGCTAGCACAGGTCTCAGCCAAGCTGTTGTCACCGCAGGAAGATGCTGCCCCATCGGGCCCCTCAGGTGCACTGCACTGAAAGTGACACAGCACCGTCTCTGTGGCACATTGTCACAAACAGCCAGCCTTCCCAAAACCAAATCCAGAGACATACTGCCAAAAAAACCAGGTCAGCATGGCTACTTAACGCGCGCGTGCACACACACACACACACACACGTTGGTGAGGACGTGAAGGTATCAGAATTACTGTGTACAGCTACAGGGCAAAGTGGTGCAGCAGTCATAGACAACTGTATGGTTATAAAGTTTCAGTTATGCAAGATAATAAGTTCTAGAAGTGTATGTTGTACAACAGTATATCTGTAGTTAATAGATTTTTTGTTAGAATTTCATAACTAAGTGTTCTTACTATAATGTTAAAAACACACAGAGTCCACAGGGAGGAAAGAACAAACAACAGACAGAACAAATAGAAAACAAAAAATGGTAGTGTTCAACATATATAAATAATGACATTACTTCTAGATGAACTAAACTTTCCAGCTAACGGGCATATTTGTCAGACTGTTTATAAAAGCAGTATGCACTCAACTATGCTAAAATTCTGCTCTAAAGTCTAGAAAGCAAAGGCCACTTTAAATATGAATGTCCCAGTGGTCTAAGTAATTGAACAGGAGAAAATACAAAACATGGGTCACATAAAAACTAGTATGGTGTATGGCTAAATTAATATTAAAACATCCCAGGGCAAAGTATATTGTCAGGGATAAAGGGAACATTTCCAGAAAATAGATGGTTCCAAGTGTGTGTCTAATCAGAACTTCCAAGTGCATGAAGCAAAAACTAACAGCTGAAGGAAATGGGTGATTCCGCAGAGTTGGAGACTTCAGTCTACAGATCCAAGGAGGTCAGGATATAGAAGTCTTGGACAGTGTTAGCCAGCATAACTTATTTGGATATACAGAACACTATACTTGACGTTCATTCAGTATTAAAATATCAGGGCCAGTGAGATAGCTCAGCAGGCTAAGCACGTGCTTAGGCAAGCGCAGAGACTGGGGTTCTATCCCCGGTGTGTGCTGCATTGGTCCACCCCCAGGCATGCTGAGCCGGCCACCAAGACCGAGCATGGTGGCGCATGCCTGTAATCCCAGCACTGGGGAGGCTGAGACAGGAGGATCACTATGAGTCTGAGCGGCATAGTGAGATCACTATGAGTCTGAGCAGCATAGTGAGACCTAATTATTGCATGATTTAATGCAATAAAAAAGAACTAAACGAAGTAGTGCTGGTAGTAATCCCCTCTAGCCTGAGTAGTAAGTAGCCTTTTATATATCTGAAAAAGTATTTATTGGTTAAAAAAGATGTGATCACATAGGTTTATTTCCTCCCATCCAAGTACTAACCAGGCCCGACCTTGCTTAGCTTCCTAGATCAGATGAGATCGGGCATGTTCAGGGTGGTATGGCCGTAGACTAGGTTTATTTCCTGTAAGTGTAATTCATAATAAACTGAATCTTCAGTGTTACACACTAGGCATACAGTAGGTAGTTTTTTCTTTTCTCTATTTTTTCTTTTATTTTTTTTCTAGTGTCTGTATATTAAAATAAGCAAACTTTTTAAATTGAGATATTTTAAAAAGGAAGAGTTGTGCTACAAGCAAATAAGACAGGAGTTGGAGGGAGGACAGCTGGGTCACCTAGACAGGATAGGCTTGGTGTGGGCTGGGGAGGAGGCTCCTGGCCGAGAGGCCTCACCCCGACGTGAGTCTGAATTAGCACGGTGGTGAGCAAAGCCAGAGCCCAAGCCTGTGGGACTCGCATGGTTGTGGGGAGAGGTAGGTGAGCATAATAAATGAGACCACACATCGTCTCATGTGGTTAAGGTGCCAGTGCGGAAAACAAGGCAGAGGGGGAGGTGGCAGCCATGGGCAGGGGCTGGAGGCACCCGGAAAACGAGGCCAGAGAGGGGGATGGCAGCCTTGGGCAGAGGCTGGAGGCACGCGTAAAGGCACCCGGGGAGACTCCTTTATGTATGGCCTGGTGCATACTGAGGGCATGAGCGAATGGACCACTTAAATACAGGGAAACGCCTGTGCATAAGGAACGGGTTCACGGGCCAGCATACCAGGGCACTGGAAGCACTGGACCAGGCTGTGTGAGTTGGTGGACATGCGGGGAGATGGACAGATTGTGGACACACAGGCAGTTTTAAGGGTTTTTGCCTTTTACTTAAATATGTTAAGCTGTAAGAGGCTTTAGTGTAAGGGCGTGTCCTGCCCTTATTTCACAGCACCACTCTCGCTGCTTTGGAGGATGGACTGAAGACATAAAGTGGAAGCAGAGAGAACGGGAGGGTAGCAGCTCAGGCAAGAGACAGCGGAGGCTTAAGACAAGTCAGAAGGAGCTGAAGTGCTCAGACTAGCTCAGTGGCACGGCGCCTCCCTGGCAAGTGCGAGATCCTGAGCTTGATTCCTGGTACAAAAAAAAGATTGAAGCAGTAAGATTTGTTGGCAGATCAGAGTGGAACAAGAGGAGAGCTAAGGATGGCCTGAAGTTTTTGGCTGCACAGCTGAAGAGACTGGATTGTTCTTCAATGAAGGAAGAAAGACCGTAGCATTTGGCAGAGCCAAGAGCTTAAACAGGTTTGTTGTGAGACGCAGTTTTTCCAAGGGTGGCTCTTGTGTATGGAGAGTTCAAGGCTGCCGTTCTGGAGAAGAGGGCAGTGCGGAGATAATCACCTGGAGTTAGACAGGATGCAGGTGAACTCACAGCCATGAGACGGAGAGCGGTGACTGACAGAGTCTGCAGTGATAGTGACAAGGAGACTTCAAAGGCCTGGCCTCTCCACCGTAGGAGACAAGATGAAAAGAACCCAGCAGCAGAGATGGAGCTTCCCGGAAGGCCAGAGGGGAGGCAGGGCCTGCTGTCAGGGAAGCAGAGCAAGCGCCACAGAGCGAAGGAGCAAGTGCTCTGCCCTGCGTTGCTGCCAGGCCGAGCAGGGCGGGGGTTACACACTGACTGTGTGGTTCCCGGTTCCTCAGCAGGAGCCATCTTGTGGCACCTTGCGGTGAGCCCTGATAAGGATGGATTAAAGGGTGTGCGGAAGCAGAGTCTACAGGGACAGCAAGGGTTGTGCAGATCGTGGTTTCTGAAGAATTTGCTGTGAAGATATGTAGAGAAAAATGTGGTCCCCAAGGGGAAAGAGAGTTAAGAGTTGCTTGTATTTTTGCCAGGCAGGCGCTTCCGCCAATGAGCTATCTCCCCGGCCTCTGCTTTTATTTTTAAGAGAACACAGTGTATTTAGAGGTGGGTGAGAGTGAGCCATTGGAGAAGGAAAACACCAATGCAAGAAGAAAGTGGGAAGAACGGCTGTGTTTTGGACTTGGAAGGCTGAAGAGGGTAGGTGTCACAGCACAGGTGTCAGCGTTGGCTTCCGCTCAGACCCCCTGTGGGCACCCCTCCCCAGGTTTGATGATTGGTCGGGAGGAGCCCAGGGCTCAGCCTGTGATTACATTCATGGTTGTGATTTATTGTGGGGAAGTAATACAAAGAAAGACCAGCAAAGGGAAATGGCACGATGGGGGAAAGCCCTGAGAGAACTGGTGTAATCTTGCAGAAGTTCTGTCAGAGAGCAGTCACTTTGCGTTGAATTCCTGTGTCAGCCGAGGGTGCTGCCTGCCAGGGAGGCTCCCTAGAGACTCGGTCCCCCAGGCTGTCCCAGGGTGCTGATCTCCTTGCCGCCCCTGTCTGGTATACCCCCAGTTCCAGCTGGAGACCCCGAGGTTCCCCTGAGTCTGTGCTGCTGTGCGGCGCCTGCGGCGAGCCACACTGACCATGTAGGAGTGGTGGACGCCTCCGACCTCGAGGTGCGCACTCGGGCGTGTAGTCTGTTCTGAGGGCAGTGGCTGCCCCCGCTGTGTTCATTCCTTTCTTAGGGCGAAGCCACAGTGGAGGCAAAAGCAGGGTCAGTGTGGAGTGATAAGCTGAACTCGTGGTGGGACTGAGGAGAGTGCTGGAAACAAAGGATTATTTGAAAAGCAGTACTGATTTAAAAATTTTTATAGCTAGTAAGTATTGGGAATGTGATTTTATTTTTAAGCCCAAACTCAGAGTAGAGAAATAATACAGGAGATGCAGGATATAAAGCAGTGATAGATGAGATACCCACATGACATGATGGTACGTTGCTATGACAACTATAATTTTGGGGCATTTTTTGTGCTGTTCTCAGTTTTATACAAATAATCTGATTCTACTATCCTGTAGACTCTAATAGCAAATGGTATAAACATGATTTGCTAGACAAGTATATGGATTTTGTTCAGAAAGCCATTCTGTGAAAATGGCAGCACACGAAGTATGTATTGAGCAGTTTTAGTTTGTGTATTAAAACTGCATGAAAGATGGGTTTCTGTGTCAAATGATAGAAGACTTAGAGAGAGTTTAATTTTCCTGTTAAGTTGCTCATTTGCAAAGTGAACTATGTAGTATTTTATTACAGTTCTAATTAATTGTGCTGTGGTGATTTCTTCAACAGGGCCAAGAATTTGCCCCCCAAAGCGTGGCAATAGTTGGTCATTCCATGGGTGGCCTTGTTGCAAGAGCGCTGCTTACACTGAAAAACTTTAAGCAAGAGCTGGTAAATCTCCTGGTCACGCAAGCAACGCCTCACGTTGCTCCTGTGATGCCGCTGGACCGGTTCATTACAGGTGAGGCCCCTCCCCTGGCTCTGTCTGACCTCTGCTCTCCGGAGGAAGGGAGCCGTGCCGCAGCCCTCCCTGCAGAGCGTGCCCTGGGTTTACTGCATCTGGCGCGGCTCAGTTGCACACCGGACACTGGCACGCTAGTGTGAGTCTCTCGTGGCTTCCCACCTAGCCCTGTGATCAGAACATGCCAGTGTCCTCTTTCCAAGTGGTCTGAGCATGGTGGTCGTAGGTACCAGGGCTTCAGTTTGATTTTTCTCCAGGATGATTCCTCCTCTCTTAAGACACATGTGCACTTCCTGCGCTTTGTTAACTACTCAGTATTCTATTAAAAATACACTTACATTTCATCAAAATAGTAGCAGTGCTTTTTTAAAAATAAGTAGGTACACTGCTAGAGTTGCCAGTGCTTACTGAACTCTCCCTGTATTCTGGGTGTGTTAAGAACCTCACCTGATGTGTTAGCAGACGTGGTCTCTACTGCCGTCTTCTTAGGAAGGTACTGTTATTAGCCCCATTTTATGCATAAGAAAGGTCAGGATAATGATTTTCTTTTCTTTTTTTTTAAAGACAGGGCCTCACTCAGGTGCCCCACCAGGCCTCAAAGTTGTGATCCTCTTGTCTCAGCCTTCTGAGGAGCTCATATTATAGGTCTGTCCCGTGGCCCTGCTTTAATAAAAGTCTCGCTCAGAGTCACGTGGCCGCAAGGTCCAGCCAGTATGTGCCCTTCACACCGGCTGTGCCTGTGCTCCTAGCTCGGGCGTGGTCTGTACAGTGGTGTCCTGTGGAGGGTGCTGCTTTACAGGGCAGAAGACTGAATAGTGTTAGGGTGCAGGCGTTGTCATCAGAGGAGGCTGTGATATCATCAAACAGGTACTAGCGCAGAGCAGTGATCAAGTGAGAATCTTCACTGCTCAGGGAGCATTCTAGGAGAAGGAAACTTGTAGAAGGAATCCTTGTTCTTGTCAGTAAATTCACATAGAACTTATTTTTGGTTTTTGTTTGTTGTTTTCTTGAGGGGCGGGCTAAGGCAGGGTCTCTCGCTGCGTGGCCGAGGCTGACCATGGCCTTGCAGCTGTCGTTCTCCCTCAGCCCCGAGTGCTGGGTTTCAGCGTGCACCACCGCACCTCCCTGTAGCTTCTTACCCATTACAGTTTCTACTGTATTACCTTTAGAAAGTTGTGTTCATAGTTAAGAAATAAACATACCCGAGTGACGCCAACCAAGTTTTCTAAAGTTCCCATCTTAATAATATAACATTGCCAAAAAATAGTTTATTTTCTGGAAGTATTTGGTGTATACTTTTTGGAAATTTTGACATTTAAAAAATTTTGGCTGGAGGAATGTCTTAATAGCAAACCTTTTAATTTTGCTATTACAGGTGTTTAAATCTTTTTTAGTATGTGTAAGTCATAAGTGAAAATAGATTTTAAAATGAAAAGGGGTAACTGGGGAGATAGCTCAGCAGTCTAAGCGCCTCTTGGCAAGTGCAAGGACTTGGGTTTGATCCCTGGTACTGCATGCCGTGCTGGCCACCAAAACTGGGTGTGGTGGCACGTGCCTGTAATCCCAGCGCTGGGGAGGCTGAGACAGGAGGATCACTATGAGTCCGAGCCACGTAGTGAGACCCTGTATCAAAGAAATAAATAAAAGATTTTTAAAAAGATTTTATAAGATAGAAAAGAAAAGGGGCTCGGCATGGTGGTGCACACCATAATCCCAGCACTCAGGAGGCTGAGGCAGGAGGACCACTGTGAGTTAAAGACCAGCCTGCGCTCCATAGCAAGACACTGTCTCACAAACCCAAAAACACGGTCAAAGGCCAAAACTCTCATTCCTTGTCAGTACGACTGAGAACCTTTTGTGTCACTGCATTTCTGATGGTATGTGCAGGTGAGCCCTGTGGGCTAGATTAGGGCGACTTGAGACCACAGGAAATACTCTAGTAGCGAATCCTCATGGAAGAGCCCTTGAGAGTCGGAGGGGTGGCAGTGGTCTCCTCATAGGCTCAGGCTAAGAGTGATACTTGGAGCCAGAAGTTGTAATTAGTAAGCTTCTTTCAATTCTGTATTTTTCAGTTGCATTAAGTCAGAATTAGAACTGAAACAATTAATTCCAACAGAGGTGGATTTTCAGTTTCCAGGAAACAGATGGTACAGTGTCAGAAGTGGGTCTGCTTCCTGGGGTAGGGTGAGAGCTGCTCCGCCTCAGGCCTCGCCTCCCGGGCAGGATCCTCCTGTAGCTGAGCCTTCCCTTCAGACCACTGCCCAGGGAGCCTGGCTCCACAGACCTCTTGCTGCAAGCGCCAGGCCCTGTCCCAGGGCACCTAGGCCTTTTTACCTGGCCTTGTTCTTCTGTGCAGGAAAGTAGGGCCTCAGCTTGAAGCAGGACACACAGGTAGCGTGTGTACTTACACACAAGGCCTTGCCGCGCAGGACAGGCTTGGGGGGAAGGAGAGAAGAGAGCCGAGGCTGACCTCTGCTGTCCTGTGCTGCTGCGATCCAGGGCCTGTTCAGAGGTGTCTGGACCCTTGCTCCGCACCTGGCTTCCGAGGTTGTTTGCCTAGGTAGGAATAGGAATGTATTAATGCACAGCGTGTCTGCTGGATTTTTGGCTTTTGCATGGCCCACTGTCACTCCCAGCCCAAGTCCTGCAGACATTTGGGCTCAGCCTGGAGACAGCCTAAGTACCTACTGCTGGGGTCTGTAATCCAGAGAGCTTCCCTTACCAGATGGAGTCCGAATGTCTGCAGGACTTGGGCTGGGAGTGCCAGTGGGCCATGCAAAAGCCAAAAATCCAGCAGACACACTGTGCATTAATACATTCCTATTCCTATCTAGGCTCAAATGTGGGATAGAAATGCATTAACTTCTCATGATCAGAGAACCGTGAGAGCGCCTCTCCACCATCTTACCTTGTTAACCCTTGCTATTGAAGTGCCTTCCGTAGACGGTCACCATGTGCATGTTCTTCCCTCTGAGCTGTTACTTTCATGCATAGACTCCTAACCCTGAGGCTTTCCACAGCAGCAGCACCCTAAAGGTAACATCAGTGCTGCTGTCCTGGTAGGTCATAAGAACCTCTAAGAAGCACCACCGCATGTGGGGTGCTGGGCCGTAGTAAAGTTGCTAAGCTCTTATGAATAGGGACACTACCACAGCAGAGGAGGGTGAACACATTTATGTATCAGGAATCCAGCACCACAGACATCTACAGCTCTTTAGGGGAGTGAACTCTTAAAAGAATGGTAAAGTTTTCTTTCTTTCTTACACTATGTGGCTCTTGAAAAATCCTTATGGAGTATAAATTCATGTTTGCATATGGGCATGTCATAGCCAGTAAGATAGATAGTTTTTTTCTTACTGATTTTTTTTAGTGACTTCATTTTTGTACTCTTAATAGGCAAGTGGGAATAAATGAACGTATAGTAATTTTGCTCAAAATAGAGAAATGTAACACATTGTTTATAACCAGATAGCTTAAAGAAAAATGCAATTAAAATGTAGTATTGTAGGTATCGTTGAAGGGAATGACTACTATTTTCAATGCCTCTCTTTTTTCTTACCAGATTTTTATGTGACTGTAAACAACTATTGGATTCTAAATGCTCGCCACATAAATTTCACCACACTTTCTGTAGCTGGAGGATTCCGGGATTACCAAGTTCGTTCAGGACTAACTTTTCTACCACAATTAAGCCATCATACCAGTGCCTTATCTGTTGTGGTAATTTTTTTTAAGATTCTATTGAAATAATAAAACAGTGAAGCATGAAAGAGAAATGAGATGTAGCCCCTGGGGAATGGCGGTTGGGTTGGCGGTGTGGGCTTGCGGCAGGTATAAGACAGAGAACATCATGAGCACCGAACCCGAGTCCCTGGAGCAGGCAGAGTCTGTGGAAAGTTAAGGGGACCCTGGAGTAGGGTTTGTTTGCATCTTTTGTAAGACCTGGACATAGATGAGGGGTGTAACTAAGAAAATGTGGACTGAAGTTGAAGGGAACCTAGTTACAGCTGACGGTCCTACTGTGCACACTACTAGGGAAGGGAAGTGTCAGACGTACCGTGCACTCCTCTCTGCTACCCTCAAGTGAAGGTCACCAGTTTTTAAATAATGTAAGTAGTTTTGATAGTAAAAACAGCTGCAGTGAGTTGGCTAATTACCCTTCTCTGCTAGGCCAATAACTATTTGGTCTTTGGCTGATTCAAGTGGCCTGTGCAAAGCGATCTCTAGTTTCCCTTCTTGAACTTCTTTCTTATATATTCAGCCTTGAAGTCCTCAGTTAACATGTTCATGGCAGAGCTGTACTCATGTAGCTCGCTGCCGGCAGCTTGCCCTACCCGTGGTACACACATAACCATTAGTACAGGTGGTGCAGTCAGACACGGATGGTCATGCCTGGACCACCAGTGGTTCAAGCCAGCAGGGAGGCCTCAAGATATTCATGTCATGACTCTATGTTTACACCATCTCTAAGTATTATAATTTATTCTTAAAGAGAAAATCTGCAGAATGTGGTCTGCCTGGTCTGTTGCCTTGAGGGGACAGATGTAGATTCACTCTTTCCTTGTTGCTCCTCCTCATAGATATCCCTTAGTTCGTCTGACCTGTGGTGATCCTCGGGTTGCTGTGCAGTCACCAAGTCGGTGTTGTGAATCGAACGCTTGCCGCAGTCAGAGTGGAATGACTGTGCTGTTCTGCTCTTGCCTATCTTCCCCCCTGACTGGAGAACTGAGATGGGCCCGGGACAGCTTTGGCATGAAATGGTTGCATCTCTCAAGCCTCATTTTCAGGGCTACCACTCAGTGTCATTCGGCACTGAATGTTTTGCATAGTTACTTGCTTCAAGTCCTTACAAAGCTGAATGTTAGCTCTTTGGTAAACATAAGCAGCTTAGTCAAAGAAATGTATTTCCTAGGCATGACTGTTATTCACATCACATCCTAAGACATACATTCTAAATAACATCGGTCATTTGAGAATCCATAGTTTTAAGACAGGTTACATTTCTATGTCTTTGGCAGAAACTTACAGAATGTTTCTCAAAAATAGCTGTTGTATAACCTGTTTTATACACTGTTTAGTCCCAAAGTACAGTATTATACAATCTTTCCCATATCTGCATATATGTTCACTTCATAAAAAATTCAGAAGTAGTAATATATGAACACTTCTCAAGCAAGAATAGTTCAGTGACATTTATGTGTTAGGACTAGGAAGGATCATGGCAGGGGGGGAAGGACACACCTGTATAGTAGCGAGCCGAACTGCTGGAACCAACTCCCTGGAGCACAGCGTTCAGCATGGCAAAACAGCAGGTGGGGCCAGAGGAAGTCGTCCTGCTGTGCAAGAAAGGGACGGTGGCTTCCAGCAGCATGTATCCGCTTCCATCACGCCTTTGTAAAAGCTGCCTTTTTTACTTATGTTGCACACGTGCTCTCTCTTGCCGTCTCTCTCTCTCTGTCTCTGTCTCTCTCTCTTGCTCTGTCTCTCTTTCTCTCTCTCTTGCTGTGTAGGATAGGCTGGCCTTCAGCTCACTATGTGGCTCAGGGTGGCCGCAAGCACACAGCCATCCTCCTGCCTCAGCCTCCCAAGTGCTGGGATTGTGGCAGGCACCACTGTGTCCAGCCGCCTTTCCTCTCTCACCTCTGGAAGGCACATCAGTCCTCCACTCTTGCTAATGGTCATTGCTAACCCTTAATTTAATCCTACAACCCCGGCTCTGCCTGCTAATTTTTCAGGAAGCTGTAATTACCAAATATATCTGTGCTTATTCAACAAGTGTGCTGTTCCTCTTTCTTCCCAACATGCAACCCCAAACTCATTTACAGAGTACAAGCCTGAAACTGGACCCTGAGAAGTCACACACACCTGCTGCTACGTTAGCTTTGTGCGCTTCACTCACTGCAGAGGCGTTTTCTGCCTCTGTTAGCGTCCTTGCATCTGTCTGTGTTGGCAGCGTCTGTCATCATCTGTGTGACTGTGGTCAGACGGCAGCTCACTGTGGTCTTGCACAAGGAGCCGCGTGAGAAGCGAGGCTGCTTGCTTGCCGAGCCTGTGCTCGCGTGGGACGTCCCTGTGCTGAGCCTGTTCTCACGTGCAGCACCCCCACGCCAAGCTGTGCCCTGGCAGGCAGGAGAGGCCTCGGCTCCCTTGGGGCCGCGCCACTGCTGTGGAGCCTTCTTTAGCCAGGCGCACACTCTGAGCCTTTTGCCCTCCCACAGCCTAACCATCTAGAGAAATTTTGCAAAATAAGGAAAGTGTGGACCGGAATAGTAAGAACCTTAGACCTTAGCGTTGTCAGCTTAGCGCTCTATGCCTAAGAAAGAACTCTGTGGGACTAAGGTGAAGCTCGGCCTCCACGGTCTGGCCTTGTCTCCCCTTCACAGTCACTAAAACCACCTCACAGAGCACCGGGAGCATCCGTCTCAGATGAAGTTAGAAGGACGAGAAGTCAGACGTTAAAAGCTTCCGTTCAGAATCCCTAGAGGTTCTAGTAATTGTTAAAGGGTAGTTTAAGTTTGGCTGACCAGTAGTGATAGTAGAGAGTTATATGTATAAGCAGGAATATCTTAAAATCTGAATTACCTTTTAAAAGAGTATCATTTAAAAATATCTACAAGAATATCATAGTGACAACAGTGTTATGCGTTTAAAAATGTTAGCTTAAAAGAATTTCAGACCTTTCAGAGGAGAACAAATATGCGTTTGTAAGTTTGATTTTTCTTTCCTTTTAGAGTTCAGCAGTGCCTAAGACGTGGGTCTCAACAGATCACCTCTCCATTGTGTGGTGAGTTAGCGTAACTTATCGCAGTGATCTCAGCTCATCAGTGCATTAATTGGTGTGTTAGCTTTCGCGGTGCTTTATCCATGAATGGGTTGGTCTGTGTGCCAAGACCTAGTCAGGGCTCAGCACTCTGCACTTCATTCGCTACCAACACTTTTTTCACGGTCTGTAATGTCCCTTAAAGAACCAGTGATAGCTGTTTCCAGTGATGCTACTCAGATATCAAAATCTGAGTTCATCATAGATAGAATTAAATGTACCTGTGGTAGGGCTGCACCTTTGGTCAGTCACCACTCTCAGATGTAATTAATATAGCAGTGACTATCCTAGGGAGAGGTACACAAGTACAGAACCACCCAGGGGCTGAGGAGATAGCTCAGTGGTCTAAGCGCCTGCCTGGAAAGTGCAAGAACCTGGGCTCAATTCCCTGTACTGCGTGCCGTGCCAGTCCCGCATGGGTTGACCCCTGAAACTGCTGGCACATGCCTGTAATCCCAGTGCTGGGGAGGCTGAGGCAGGAGGATCACTATGAGTCCAAGCTGCATAGTGAGACCCTTTACCAAATAAATAAATAAATCTTAAAAAAAAAAATTGAAAAAAATCACATCCCCAAATTAAAAACCCAATCCAAAAGTGGGCATCTGAGATGAATACATACTTCTCAGATGAAAAAATAGAGGTGGAAAATAAATATATGAAAAAATGTTCAACATCATTGACCATTTGAGAAATGCAAATTGAAACAACGCTGAGATTCCATCTTACCCCAGAAAGAGTGGCTGTAGTCAAGAAACTCACTACTAAAGAAGTTGGAAGGTCTGTGGGGAAAAAGTAACCCTTCTCTGCTGTTGGTGGGGGTGTGGCCCGGTGCAACCACTATGGAAATCAGCAGAAAGACTCCTCTAGGACTAGAGCCCTCACTTGGCCCAGCTACTACCCCTGCTGGGTATCTTCTCTAAAGAATTAAAAGCATCATACCTTAATGACATGTGCACACCCATGTTTATGGCAGCACAGTTTGTAATATCTAAATCTTGGGAACAGCCCAAATGCCCTGTCAACCCATGCATGGATAAAGATGGGGCTTTTTTATACAATGGAGTACTGCTCAGCCACAAAGAAGAATAAACTTGAGACATTTATGGCTAAATTAATGCACCTTGAGATCATCCTGTTAAGTGAAATAAATCAGACACGTGTATAAACATCGTGTTGTCTCTGGTATAAGAAAGTGAAAGTGAGAATAGGAATCAAAGTGTACAGCAGAGACAGTGAAATAGGGGAGATTATTCAAAAGGAAAGGGGAGCTAGGGAAGGTGGAGGAGGAATGGCAGGGGAAAAAGAGAAAAGAAGGATAAAATGGAAACAAAGCCTTTGTAAATGAGAAACGGGTTGAAAGGGGGAGGAGAACAAGGGGAAAAAGGAAATAAGATCGTGCGCAGGTACTGATTCCTGATGATGAATGTGATCATTATGTGTATCCCCATGGTACCAGTAAACTTAATATTAAAATAATGAAAAGAAAGGTAGATCTGGTGCCTGCCTCTGTGTCTTGGCCTGTGCAGGCCAGGAGCTGCAGGAGCCACAGTGCACACCCGAGGAGGTGCACACCTGAGGAGGTGCGTACCCAAAGAGGTGCACAGGTGGGGTGTGCAGCTAGCAGCCGGTGGTGAGGTGATTGAGACACCGAAGGAGCGTGGCAGTTACGTTGTGACACACTCAGGGAGCCTTGCTGCCTTTACTTTTACAGGTTTTGACTGTAAGACACAGGCTTCGTGAGAAGGACTTCTCATTTAAGTACTTTTCTTAGTGTATAGCCTAAAAGAAACTAAGGTATTTCATTACATATAGACACTTGCAGGTTTGAATCAAAAATACATGTTTTAAGAAAGTTCCCTGACCTGCGAAGATAGCTCGGCGATCTAAGTGCCTGCCCAGCAAGCACAAGGACCTGGGTTCAGTCCCTGGTACCACATGCCATGCTGTCCCTGTCCCCAGGTGCGCTGAGCCAGCCACCAAAACCGGATGTGGTGGTGGCACATGCCTGTAATCCCAGTGCTAGGGAGGCTGAGACGAGAGGATCACTATGAGTCTGAGCTGTGTAGCAAGACCCTGTACTGAATAAATAAATAAATGATTTTTTTAAAAAAGAGAGAATTTCCTATGTAATGCTTGCTTTATTCTTTAGGTGTAAACAGTTGCAGTTGACTACAATCCGAGCATTCTTTGATCTTATCGATGCTGATACTAAACAAGTATGTATTTTTAAACTAAAAACTATTGCACCACAATGAAAGCTTTCATTATAGCAATGATAGATTTAATGAGTGTTTTTTTTTTCTTTTGTGAAAATAGAAGCCTATACTTTCTATCAATTTTAATTAGTTCCAGGATGGACATACACATTTTATAACACTTTTATCACTGTTAATAACTCATAAAATGTAATGAAAGTGAATGAATTTTTAAAATTTTCGTTTGTCCCTTTACTCTTCAAAACTTTGATGTATGTCCAACTGTTTTCCATTTAAAGAAATACTATTTGAAGCCATCTTTATGTTATCTTTTCCTACTATTGTGAGCATGATCTATCTTACTAAATATTTTTGAGACATGTTTTTAAAAGTGTCTCTACCTTTCTGAGAAGATCAAAATAGATGCATTCATTGAATAGCCCAAGCCCGCCAGGATGTCAGTTGTGTACACGTCCGTCCCCTTCTGCGTGCAGCTTCACGCTTCAAACTCCTCACACTGGTGATTTTCTGTGGCTTTCTGCTAGCAGAACACCCTGGAGACAGCATCTTTCAGAGAGTGTTCTGTTACTCTTTCATCGCTTTCTTGTCCTGTAGCAGATAAACAGGGAGGACACCAAAGACGTCTGTGAAATTCAGACAGGTCTATTACACTTCTTCCCGGTGAATTGGGAACATTTCTGTTATTCCCACTAAGCAGCCAGAGCAGTGGGTGTTCCTGCTATGTGTCAGTGTCCCTGAAATACGTTTTGAGAGCTATGGCTCTTCCCTCGGAAGAAATCATTTCTGGTTTTTTGGGAATTTTTTTCATTATGGCAAAATATTGCAATGCTAGTAGTTTTGGAGATTTTTTCCAGAAGACTGCAGTTTTTTGGAGAAACCAGTGCGGGTGGCCTCACTGAGGAGGTCTGTATGAGGTCTTCTACTCCCTTATGTCCTGGAACCTCTCTCTCATATACTCTCTTGAGAGGAGGAAAGAGTTATCTGCATTTTTCCCTTCTCTCCTCAGAAAGCTGAATACGTACTATTAAGACCCTAGACTTTGGATTCTTGAGAACATCCTGATCATTTTGTGTTGTACCCAGTTGTAAGCCAGATTTCATCTGGAGTTGTTATATTTATTGAAATAAATAAACTTCACAGAATTAACACTGTGAATTGTCATCCAACACAAAAAACTCTCTGGGTATTAACATTGTATAATGTGCCATTTAACTGTGGCAAAAGTTTTAAGTCTCTGAGAGAATGCAACTAAATATTCTGTAGAATAGAATCAATTAAAATAGCAAGTTTGTATATGAACTTAATATGGTAGGCTGAAGAAAAATCTTATTCTAATCAGTGAAGAATAGAAATACATTAAACCAATATATTCTTTACAAAATTGTACTTGAATCTAAATTTAATAAATCCTGTTTCTTCAATAATTCACGAAATGAGGGCTGGTGAGATGGCTCAGTGGTCTAAAGCACCTACTTAGAACAAGCTTAGCAAAGCACAGGGACCAAGGTTCAATCCCCCAGCACCACATGCCAGCCAGCCCTGCCCCCTGGTGGGCTGAGCTGGCCACACACACACACACACACACACAAACAAATAAATAAATAAATAAATTTTAAAAAAATAATAATTCACGAAATGAGAGAAAACCCTAGTCTATATGTAATGAAAGGGGTAGTTTCCAGGAAAGGACAGTGGGCAATTTGTATTTTTCCTTAGTGACTGGTGATTTGGGATTGGCTCTGCTCTGAGTATGGCACTCGTATGCTGGAATGACTAGATGAGCTCTTTTCTGATGCTGCACATTTTATAGTGTTCTACTTACTTATTTGAGAGGTATAGTTGCATAATGATTAAAACGTAGACCATAGGGGTGGAATACCTGGGTATAAATCCCTGCCCAGATTCTTAAGAGCTGTGTGATTTGGGGATAAGTTGATTAATTTTCTGTTTTAGTTTCTTAATCTTTGAAATGCAGATAAAAAGATTGTCTTTTAGAGGTCTGTGGTGATTAATAAATTAATAACAGGTGAAGAGCTTTGCACAGTGCCTGCGGACAAGACCTGAAGCATGGTTTCACTGAATCGCACTGTTATGAAATGATACAGAGTATCAATGTTCTTTATAGATAACTCAGAATCCCAAGAAGAAATTGTCAGTTTTGAATCACCACTTCATAAGACACCCAGCAAAACGTTTTGAGGAAAATCCAGCAATAATTTCTGACTTAACAGGTTGGTAATAATGACATGTCGTAAGTAGAGCTTTTCATTACTAAGGAAAGTTGTAATGAGCAGACAGAGGTCTTTGAAATTGTGATACAAGTATTATGACCCTGACATTTTAGGAATTTCCCTGTGAGCCTCTTAGTTTAAAATTGTAAAAGTAGAAAAGCAAGTTGTAAGATGCGCACAAAAATTTTGTGCTGAAAATAAAATGACAGGTTTTGTTTGTTTGTTGGCTTATTTGTTTGTTTGTTTGCAGTGCTGGGGACTGAATTCAGGATTTGTACATGCTAGGCAAGTGCTCTAACTCTAAATTGCACCCTGATCCCATAGATATTTATAGAGCTAAACATCCAGCTCCCTGACAGTCACGTAAAGTAAGAGCCGTAGTACTTTTGATGCCTTTCCAGTTTCTCAGTGCCATTCATTCTTGAGTCTTTGGATTACCAGCATATCTTTACTGGTAAATTTTGTGGGTAAATATATTATCAGTTACACTTGACTTGACAAAGTGCCACGCTTGGGAAGGGAGGTGCTTATTCTCACCTATTAGTCATGCCTTAAAGACGCCCACACATGCAGCACTCTGGCGTGTGCTGCGAGTGCCAGGTCCGGAGCCGCCTGGAGAGGACGCGCTCCTGGATTTCCCTGAACGCAGTCAGTGCTCAGAAACCACTCCTGCCTTAGGACCAAGAAGTATGTCATCAGGATTCAAAAAAAGAAATGACTTAATATTAAAAGGCAAGTAAATGAATTTCCTTCACTTCAAGGGACATCTATGTGGGTTCCAGTAAAAGTGTCCAGGTGGACCTATGTGGCTTACAATGTAAGTATTCCTCCAAAGGATTCTTTTTAAAAAATATTGAAGTGCTTCTTTATAAGAGATAAAGGCTCTTCATAAAAAGATGAGCATGTACTATTTCCCCCATTTATTAGTTCCTGAATATGTAGTCAATATTCAGTTTTCCAGTTACACCATAAATTGTTTCCCTTTGCTTTCCAGCTTGTATACTTAAGTCAAGATCTAAACAAGGCCTACGTGTGGTCATTGGTTGTGTCTCTCAGGCCTCGTGGCTTCTCCACTTTTCCTTTTCCTTAATACTTCTTTATTGGCGAGAGGAGGCCCTCTCGTGATAGTGTCCCAGTCTTGATTTTGCCGACTGAATGACTGTGCTCATTCAGAATTCATACCCTTTACCACCTTTTCCTGTGCTTCAGCAGGTTGAAGCTAGATGCTTGGTAGGATCCAGGCTTTCCTTTTGTTCTTGCTTTTGTTAGACTGTGATACTAATAGCTGCTGCTGAGGAGCTCCTGTTGTCATTCAGTCATTTATTATCTGAGCTACTACGTAGAAAAGCTCTTCCACATCTACTAAGTTTGTCAAAGTGGAAATAAGTCATAAAAGAAAATGCTAATTGCTTAAGTATTCAGTTCTTGCCTCTTCTCTGATGGTTTTCAGAGTAGCCAGTTGGTCAGTTGGTGGCCTTAGATGCCTCTCCTCAGTATGATTAGAATTCATGGATTTAAATATGTTTGTGTTTCATTCCACGGATACTAAGATTATTCTCCATTTGACTAGTCAAGGCCATTTGAACTCTGGCTCCTTACTCTTTTTCTTTTCTTTTTTTTCTTTCTTTCTCTTTTTTCTTTTCTTTTCTTTTCTTTTCTTTTCTTTTCTGTTTTGTTTTGTTTTGTTTTGTTTTGTTTTGTTTTGTTTTGTTTTGTTACCAGGATCGAACTCAGGACCTTGTGCTTGCTAGGCAGGCACTATGTCCCTGGTCCTTCTTTACTCTTTCTGACGCAGTTCTTTCAGTTTCTTCACTTCCAGTATTCAGCTCATTTTGTACATCTCCTGTCCCAGAGCCTGCACCAGCTATTTCTTTTTTGGTTTTTGCAACAGGGTTTTGCAGTGTAGTCCAGGCCGGCCTCAAACTCACAGGGTTCCTCCTGCCTCAGCCTCCCAAGTGCTGGGAATACCAGCTCTGTCTTCATTTTGGGAAATGCATCTCAGGACCGTGATCTGGCATTGAAGATGCTTATGGCTTCTGAGATGGCAGTTGGAGGCATTTTCAGTAAACATAGCTGGGTCTATTTTATCACAACTAAAAGGCCAAGAAATCCCAAGGGGAAAAAAAAGCGTTCATACTGATACTTGTAGGAAAAATTTAGAACTGCAGACTTTATGTTCTGTCTTAGCTCCTGGTCTCACTGTTAGAATGTTAGTTCTTGATGACACAAAGGGTAATACCACAAGTATTCATTTTCTTTTTTCTGTACTTTTAATGGTGAGATGGCCCACTCTCATTAATAGCTATATTGTATATTTTTCTTCTTTCTATAGGAATCTGATAAGATATATTTTACATTTCCTCTTGCAAATCATAGAAGAATCTACACTCATGCCTATTGTCAGAGCACCATGCTGGTAAGATAACTGATATATTTTATGCATATTTAAAAGACTATTGGTAGGACTGGGGAGATAGCTCCGTGGCATGAGTGCCTGCGTGGCAAGCACAAGGTCCTGAGTTCAACCCCCACTACTGCAAAATAAAATGAAATGAAATACTATTGGTCACTTTTTAGGTTCAATGAATAATCTAGTAGATTTTTATATTGAACTGTTATTATTAAATCTGATTGATTGGAAAGGACTTGTTTGGAACAGTGTTTTGGTTAAAAAATTAACGATTTTCTAAAACAGGGCTGGCCTGATAGCTCAGCAAAGTAAAGTGCCTACTTAGGCAGAGCGCAGCAACTGGGGTTCGATCCCCAGCATGCCAAGATCCCGTAGACCCGGTAGGCCCTGTAGGCCTTGCAGACCCTGTAGACCCTGTAGACCGGTAAGCCCTGTAGACCTTGTAGGCCCTGTAGACCCTGTAGGCCCCCGTAGACCCCGTAGACCCCGTAGACCCCGTAGACCCTGTAGGCCCTGTAGAACCTGTCCTAAATACAGGAAAAAAAGAAAACAACCAGTTTTCTAAAACTGATGGTGTTTTACTACCATGTATGTTTGGTCTTAGTTGAGGTTTTTGCCTCCACCTTAATTTCACTGTGTTCAGGATGAAAAAATTGAATTCAAAACTCCTTTAATTCTAAAATTCTATTCATATTTTAAATAATAAATCTGGGTAAGCAGAGCTATTACCAGGAATTTTATATATGAATCCTATGTGCCATTGGCTTCCAGTCTGAACTTTCAGGCACACTTTATGCCAAATACCATCAAAGACAGTGATTTGTACCATGTCGTGCAGGCTTACTATATCAAAGTAATGATTTTGTTTGTTTTTTTAAAGGAGTATTTGCTATGTGAGGCATAGTAAGTTATACAAAAATACATAAAAGCTAAATGTTCACTTTGGCAACATACATACTAAAGCGAGAACACTGCAGAGCTTAGCAACTCCTGTGCAAGGCGGTCGTCATACCATATTTTTAAAAACATGGTAGATGCCCTGTCACGCTTTTGTGATTATATGACAATAATTCCCATAATTTTTCAACATTTCCTTACGATATTTTTGCCCAGTTTGGGATATTTTTGTCTATTCCATTGCCTCGGGATTTTTCCCTTTACATCTGCATCTTGAATGGTTTAAATTCCCTCTTTTTCCACTTTGCCAGGTTATTTGTATTTTTTAGGGCCCCCATGTAATGTGTCGCTTCCCTGATAGCCGCTGCCATCTAGCACATGGCACAGTCTTTGGAGAAGACAGTCAGCAGCTGTGTGGACAGGGTGCTGAAGCATGCACTGGGTTAGCAAGGTGCCAGGCTTCGCCTCTCTCACGTGCTGGCATCTAAGTGGACAGAACCTAGCCCGAGAGCGAGGCCTTACAGTAGCCACACGCAGGACTGAATTCCAAGTGAGAGGCCAGTATTGTATGGAGACCGGTGTTCACCAAAGTACAGGTGATCCGTTTGCTGGCGGGGGATCCCTGTTCTGTAGTTAATGGTTATGGCATTCATTACCGTTAGGTCATGCAGTGAGCTTTGAAAATAATCTTTCCAATTTTCGTTGTAGAAATTTTCAAACATATGTAGAAAGAAAATTCTTTAACCAACACACAGCTCTACTTACCACCGTTCCGCCATCCTTACAGTATTCCTTCCCTCCTTTTTGAACTGAAGCATTTTATTTATTTATTTATTTTTTTGTCCTGTCAGAGGTGAATATTCTATTAGCATCTAAATACTATAAGTGTTTGAATTCAACTAAACATCTAATACTGTCTAGCAGTCTATAATATTAGTGGGTTATCCTCAGAAGTTATTGACTTGAGCCTTTTACAGCTCATCGTATTAATATGGATTTACTTTATATACCTCATTTTAAACTGAAGCATTTTTAAATTCTGGTCATTTTATCATTTCATTCATAAAGACTTCCATGTTTTTCTACTAGATTAGGATTTTACATAATACATGTAATACCATTATTTCCTCTAACTGAATTAATATTAATTACTTCTATCTGTTATCCAGTCCATGTTCAGCTTCCCTCAACTCACTTAAATTTCAAATTTAAATTATTTGGAGATTCAAAGTGTGTATATTGTCCTTAGTTCATGAGTCTTAAGTCTCCTGTATAACAGACTCTGTCCTCTTCCCTCCATGCCATTCATTTGTGAAAGAGGATTATATGCCCCACAGAATTGGCTACAGTAGGTAATTGCATTTGGGGGGTATCGATGTGTATCCTCTATTGTTTACTGTGACCTGGCTGTTAGATCTAGTCTCTTGATTAGATTCAAGCTAATTTTTTTGTAGTAAGAACCACAAGCAGGCTGTGCGCCTCCCACATCACATGAGGAGGTGCATTATATCTGGCTGTACGTGGTGGCTGATCAGTGGGCAAGGGGCTGCCAGCACGACCTGCCCATTAGAGTCCCCAGGCAGTCTTTTATGCAATTATCTTAGCAGCCATTGAAGACATTGTTTTTACTGTAGTCAGAACTTTTTGAGAACTATAATAACATTTCTCATCAGCATTTTCTGTATACTTTAGGAATTAGTAATTTCTTGAGTACTTCTAAGTTTCAGTGCAGTTATAGAGCTGAGTACTTGCTAGATGATTTGAAATTGTTCTTCTGTGTGTTAGAGTGGCTTTGAGTAGTACATTATCTACTCAGCTCACTGATAGACAAAGGAGGATTTCTGATACCTGAAGTAAGTGTGTGGAATATTGCAGCTGTGATCAAGAGGGCTGTCTTTGGGGATAGCCTTCATTAGAAGCAGCAGAAGCCCAGCACTAAAGGGAGCTGGGTCTGTAGAGACTGCTCGCTCTGCTCGCCTGGGCTCTGTTGATCTGTTCTGTCATCTTGCTTTATCACATCACATTATTGGTAGGAGCAGGACAGGTAATGGACGCAAGAGTCACACAGTATTTTGCTTGTTGTGGAAAACAGAAATACCCCATTGTTTGCTGTCAGCTTTCTTTTCTGTATTCTTAAAAAATATCTTGGTCTGGGGAGATGGCTCAGTAGAATAAGCACCTCCCTGGCAAACATAAGGGTCTGAGTTCAATCCCCGGTTCCGCAAAACAAAAAAGTCTTAACGTTTTATTTAATGTCCATGAGGGTAGAGACTATGTCTGCCTGGCTGTCATTTTCCCTTAGGGCTAAACTTCATTCCTTGGCCCTGGCCTGGGCTTTCTAGACATTTAGCTGAGTGGACCGTCATTTCTTCATTATGTTGTCTGTAATGTTGAGGACACACGAGGCACTGCTCTGCTGGTGCTTCTCCTCTTCTGCACTGTGCAAGAACTTCAGTAATCAGATCACGATCACAGACCCTGGAACACTGCTCTGTTGCCCTGACATCTGGAGTGAAGGTCTTGGTCACTTTGCTTTTAGCCCCCTAGAGCAGAACCCATACATCCCAATCCTCTGCTGCACCCCAGCCCTGCACTCATGAGGACTGACTGGCTACTCTCTAAACACATTCTTGAATGCAAAGATTATCTGCTGGTAAGCAGGTGGGATCAAATGGTACAGTAAAAGGCTTGACTCCTAGGCTTAGTTTGTAATTAAACACATGTGTTTAGGTGGTATTTTTAATTGCTCGACTCTGGATTTTCATTGGTATGATATTCTCTCTCTAGTTTTCATTTCTGTTTTCATAGCTTTAGTGCATAGCTAATTAAAAGTATGGGCATTACCAAAGCCTTTCAAAGTTTTGGTTCAGTGAAAAGGCTCATGGGTGACACGCTGTACATAAAAGACGCCTGTCAGGTCACTGTCCCCTGCCCTGCTCTAGGCCAGTAGCTACCTGCTGGGCCACGTTGATCTTGGGTTTCGTTCCTTGTTCTTGACCATGTGGCTCTGGAGAGCATCTCCTCTGTGCCTCTCGACTCCGCATGCCACCTCGTGTTGCCCTCGCTCCTACTCATTGTGTAGCAGGGGTTGTGGAGCAGTGTTCCCTGCAGTAGCCAGTGTGCTCTCTACCATATTTGCTGCCATACTTAGTGTGTTTTCTTTTGCATTATTAATCAACAGGATACGAACAGTTGGATTTTCGGCTGCATAAACAGTACTTCTATGTGGTAAGTCTTTCAGATTTAGCTCCTTTTCTTCTCAGACAAAATCAGAAATCACAGACAGCTGCATTTATTCCTACAGTCATTTGTTGTAACATTGTTACAGCATTTTTTAAGTGAAAAGTGAGAAATGAATACACTAGTAATTTTTATAAATGTTGAATGGAGTTGGTAGTCAGGAAAGACAGCTTTTATTTTTGTTGCCAAAGAAACTGTAGCGAATACTGGATTAAACTTTCTAGACTGCAGTTCATTTATTATAACTCTCAGCTAGGTCTGTAGATGTTTTCTTTTTCCCCTGACACTTATATGTAATGTATAATGCTTCATGTATTGTTCTTTGATTGTATTTGGTCTTTATTTCAAAGCCGGCAAGGGGTTGACCTGTCATGGAAAGCTGAACTGCTGCCAACAATTAAGGTAAATGAATGTGGCTGTAGAGCTTGTTTGGAGGCTCTAGCAAGGGAGCACGGCAACCCCTGTACCCTTGACTGAGCAACGGCGGGCAGGTGTCCCTTGGGATGAGCGCGCAGCTCTGGGAGGGACACACATGGGACACCCGCCTAGCCAGCCAGATCAGCCGAATCAACCCTGGCAGTCCGTGGGGTGTAGATGTCGCAGCCAGGTCACCCTTCTGCCAGCACGTGTAGCTGTAGAACTTTAGTATTCAGGTGACAGCAATATTTGAACTCATAGACACTTTAGAATATGCTCTTAGGTACTTCATAAACCTGAGACCGTGGATCTGCATTCTGTGGATGTCTCCTTTAGAGTAACAGGCAGGCAGTACTTAGCAGCAGGGTGCTCACTGGTAGAGCCCCTGCCCAGTGTGTGTGAGGTCCTGGCTTTGGTGCCCAGTGCTGGGGGAGAAAAAGCCTTCTCAGTCAACAATTTTATGAATCTCTGTGTGTCATGGCATCATACTAAAAGTTTGATAGATTTTTAAAGCTAAATTTGAGAGTGTGTTTATTAGTTTGTGTTCAGCTATAAGCTGATCAGTGTCTTTTATTCAGAATTTACTTGGAGGGAAAGACCTAAAACAGACAAGCAGGCAGCCCGTGAGAGCTAAGATAGCCTGAGCCCACTGTGGTCCGCCTTGGAGGGCTTCCTCGGCCACTGCTCTCCAGGGTGGGAAATTGCAGCAGGCATCCCAGGGGGCCACAGCAGCTTCCGGAGTGAATCAAGTGGGACTGCAGGTCTTACCTAAAAACCACGTACTGGTCTGGGGAGATAAGCACCTTCCCGGCTGTGCGAGCTCCCGAGTTCAATCTCCAGGACCATATGCTGTGCAAGCCCCGGAAGCAGGCATGGTGGCATACTCCTGTAATCCCAGCACTGGGGAAGCTAAGACAGGAGGATCACTGTAAGTCCAAACTGTAGTAAGACCCTATACCAAAAACAAATAAAAATTTTTAAAAAGACAAATACTTATATAATCTAACCTATTGCTGAAAAGGCAAAATAGGGCCAGTGAGATAGCTCAGCAGACTAAAGTTCCTGCATAGGCAAGCTTAGGCAAGCACAAGGACTGTGATTCGATACCCCGCACCACGTGCTGCACCAGCCCCACCCCCACTGCAGGCTGAGCCGGCTAGAGTCCAGGCAGGCGTAGTGGCACATGCCTGTGATCCCAGTGATGAAAGCAGGAGGATTACCGTGAGTCCGAGCTGCGTGGTGAGACCCTGTACCAAATACATTTTTAAAAAATAATAAAATTAAATATGTAAGAAAAAGCAAAATAATTTAAAATTATTTTAAAGTTATTTTTTATTTCCTCATTGAATTTATTATAACTGATATTTTACCAGAATCGATAGTTTTCAACCTTCAAGTGAATCAATACTTTAAAAATAAAATACAATTTCCTAGCAAATGCTAGACTCACACTTTGAACAGATATCCATCCAATTGTTCTCAGTCATCTCCTAATTAAAATGACACCAATTAAGGTTTCAGGGTTTTTTGTTTTTTGTCTTTTTGCTTCCAGAGAGAGGACTGGTATAGAGGCCTAATTACAAACTGCTTACATTTGACTGGTTGTATTTTTTCTGTCACACTGGTAGTCTACTTTGTGCATATTCATTCCTGGAATGAATATCATTTGTATTTATGGAACATATTTTATAGAAGTAACCTGACTGAATTTCCTCCTGCGTTCCGGGAACCCTCAGACCCATTCCTAGCCCAGGCCTGGTGAGTGTGTGGTAGAGCTTCCAGCTACCCTGTGCCTGCGGTACCTACTGGTTCCAGCCCAGGCGCAGCGTGGGTGAGACCCTCTTCCACCCCCTTGGGACTCCCCCCAGTACTCCGCAGCACCTCCCCTACACCGCCCACCAAGTAGGAATCTCTGCCCCGTTCTGGGAACCCCAGACCCAATCCTAGCCCAGGCCCAGTGAGTATGTGGGAGAGCTTCCGGCTACACTGCGCCGACTGGACCTACTGGTCCCAGCCCAGGCGCAGTATGGGTGACACCCTCTTTCACCTTCTTGGGACGCCCCCCATCACTCCGTAGTATCCCCCCACCGCCCACAGAGTAGGAATTTCTGTCGCGTTCTGAGAACCGCCAGATCCAGTCCTAGTCCAGGCCCAGTGAGTGTGTGGGAGAGCTGCCTCTCGCCCCTACTCCACCTTGTCCCTGCAGACTCAGCTCAGGCCTGGCATACAGGCCTGGGGTGAAACCCTTCAGCTGCAATTCCTGCAGAGAGTGTATGGGATAGAACCACCCAGCTAGTCCAGGAGCACAAAATCTTGCCAAAGGGGCACAACAGGTTCACCCCCAAGGGCAGCAACAGGAAGGAACTGAGCACAGCAGCCAGACACAAGCCAGGCACAGCTGGATAAATCCAAACTTTGTAGATCTACACCTGAACTTCAGTAGGTGCTAAGGCTATAACTGCAACAAAGATCTACAACAAAGGTCAGAAGACAGTGCTGCACAAAATGACAACGAGAAGGAGCAAAATGCAATCTCAGACCCCAAGCCCACCCATAACAAGTGCAGAGGACACTATCACAGAACAAATTGGGAATCACACAGCTGAAAGCAATGCATCAACGGCTTCTGAAATAAAGAAACAACTGCAGAAAGGTACAGAGGAACTCAGACTGGAAATGAAAAAAGAAATCCCTGAATTAATAACATGTGCAGTAAACAATCAAATGCAGAAACATATGGAGGAAACCCAGTGCCCACCCAGAACAAGTGCAGAGGACACTAGCTCAGCTCAAATGTATGAATTAATAGCGTTGATACTCAATAAGCAACAGCAGAAAGTCATAGAGGAACTCAGAGCCGAATTCTTTTCTACTAGCTCAGCTCAAATGTATGAATTCATAGCGTCGATAGTAAATAAGCAACAGCAGAAAGTTATAGAGGAACTCAAAGTGGAATTATTTTCTGAAATAAAAATTCTCAGAACTCATAGCATCTGAAGTAAAGAATCAACTACAGAAACATAGGGAGGAAACCCAATCTGAAAATACATTGCAGTAAAAGAATTTATAGCTGCTTCTAAAGAAGACATTGATAAAAAAAAAAAATAGACAAGATTAGAAAAATGATGGATTCCTTGAATGAGCAATACAGGAAAGAAAGAAATCACATGAAGCAGAGTCAAAGAGATATAGAGGAAATTAAAATCTCAATCACAAGCTTGCAAAACCATTTAAGTGAAAGTGAAGACAGAGTTTCAGATCTTGAAGACACTGGTACAGCTAGTGAAAAGATCAGAAATGATCTCTTAAAAATAACTAGGATGCAGGAAAAAATAATCCATCATCTGCAAGATGATGCAAAGATGAACAATGTGAGACTAATACACATCAATGAGGAAGAAGGAGTCAATACAAATGACATTAAAAAAAAATGGGCAAAAGTAATAGCAGAAAACTTCCTAAATATGAGGAAACAATCTGATATTAGGTAACTGAAGTATACAGAACGCCAAGTAACCTCAACCCAATGAAAAACACACCGAGACATATAATAGCCAAGATCCTAGAAATTCAGCACAAGAATAATCTACTGAAAGCCACTAGAGAGAAGAAGATCACATTCAAAGGAAGACCCATCAGAATTACAGCCCACTTCTCTTCACAAACCATGAAGGCAAGAAGAGCGTGGAGCAGAGTACTTCAAATCCTCTATGAAAACAAATTCCAGCCCAGACTACTATACCCTGCAAAACTCT